ATAATTTTAAATAAATAAATATTATAGAATTTTAATATATCAAAACTATGTCTTAAAATTAAATAAACTACTACATACATCTTAAAACAAGTTATATTAAATTTAGATTATATCCAATTTATATGTTTTCCCCAATATGTAGTTTAAATTTATAAAATTTCATACGAAAAAGTCAAAACGCAAAAAGTTATCTTGATGAACATGATTTAGAGCTTATTCTTTTCAACATAATCTAATGAGAAAAAGACTAAAGTAGGAGTAAAACATTGAAAATATGCCGAAATATGAGTTCTACAATTTTACTCCCGAAATAGGACTTAAAATGCATTTATGTTACCGATCATGACCATGTAAATTACGTAAAATGCACATTTATAGTGTCATATTACCAGAGGGCTAACTCATCTTTAAGGAATAAAAATATTAAACTCTTATTTTGATACTTTCTATCTGTTCTAGTCCTATTTATAGTAATTTCTTTAATCTAATTATGGAGTACTAATTACTTATTCTTATTACAATAAGATTAGATCATAAACATTCTTAAATATAAATAAAATTAGATCCAATCAAATCAGAGATAATGAAATTATATCTTAAAAACAAAAAAACAGACCATATAAGATCTTGTTCTCTTATGAAAAAAGTACATAGAATTTAGAAATTATAACAAGCTATTACTAGATAAAAGGTATAAAATCTTTAATATTTACATATTTAAAGGCAAAAAATTTATACATAGTCTGTAATGTCTTTAAAGAAAAAAAGTACATCTGATTCGTAACTAACTCTCAAGTTTTTATTTGAAAAACTATCATGTATAAAAAATAAAAAAATATTTATAACACATGCCAAAAAGAAGTATGAAAGACCATCAATAGGCCGACTGCAGTGTGTGGCAACAGGAACCAAAGAGTTATGAGAGTTTGAAAACAGTAAACAATGTTCTTTATAACTGATTCGAGGAAGCATGCGATGCATTTAGGTTATTAACTGATGATAAAGAATTTATTGAAGGTATAAAAGAGGCTGTTGGGTTAGGATATGAGAAACAATTAAGAAAGTTGTTCGTGACATCATTAGTGAGAAATATCGTGAGTCACCCGCAAATTGTTTGGAAAACATCATGAGAACTCCTAATGGATGGAAAGAGAATATTGCGTAATCAACGTATTTCAATAGAAAAAATGTTTTTTTAAACATATTAATCCATATGTAATATTTTTTTTTGAAATCAAACTCTTTAATTGAGTATGTAGAACTAATTAAGTCACATTTTTTCTAATTTTTTTCTGAGCATATAATTTCAGAAAAGATCTAATGAATTTATGTCTGATTGAGATTGAAAAGTTGTCTAATTCAAATGGACAATCTTTAAGAGAATTTAGTGGATGTCATTTCCAGATGACAGTCCACTTAATAGATTTCAAGATAATTTCTTGGTATAAGAATTAACTATGATAAAGAAAGTCATCTGATCTTATGGGATACTTATCTACAATCAATGAAGATCAACGGAAGATATACGATGAAATAATAAATATTATGATAATTGAAAGAGGAGGTTTCTTTTTTGTATATGGTTATGGTGGAACTGGTAAAATATTTCTAGGAAAACTATTGTCTGCTTCTTTGAGGTCAAATGGTAAGATTGTCTTGAATGACGATCAAGTGGCATTACAACATTGCTTTTGCCTGGGGGAAGACAACACACTCGAGATTCTCAATCCTTCTAGCACTAACCAAGTGCTCAATGTGTGCCATCAAACAAGAAAGTCTGAAAGCAGAACTATTCCAACAATCATGTCTAATCATATGGGTTGAAGTATGTATAATGATAGATTTGCTTTTGAGGCATTGGATCACACAATGAGAGATGTAATGAGTTTTTCAAATAAAATTTCGAGAAATGAACCATTCGGAGGGAAAAGAGTTGTACTAGGAGGTGATTTTTGAAAAATTCTTCCTGTTTTACCCAGAATTTCAAGAGAGGCAATTGTAGGTACTGCCATCAATTCTTCAAAAATATGGTCGCACTGTAAACTTTATACGTTGAAGAAGAATATGATATTGTATTCATCGACGTCCTCTTGCGCAGATAGGGACACACAAGCCTTTTCTAATAGGATAATCAAAGTTGGAGATAGAAAGTTTGGACACGTGGGTGGCCTGAAGGGTGTGCAAAGTGGCCAACCGCACAGGGCCCCTAAAATTTTAGGCCCTCATTGCATATTTTTAAATTCATCATTAATTTGAAAGCATAAGTATTCTAAAATAATAAAATAGGACCGAAAATGTAAATTTTGGATCGGACCCATTTTGTTTTTTTCTTTTTTTGAGGCCAGCCCTGGTTGGACAAGTGATTCATGGAAGAACTGAAGTTGAAATTCCGTCCATATTGATGATTCTAGACACAAGTTAACCCTTAAAGAGTATAATGGATTTCACTTATCTGAACCTAATGGATACTATGAAAAGTTATTCTTAACATTACTAGCACTCATGCTTGAGGTTATAGAAATGGTAAATGAATGTCATATCCCTCATTCCCAAAAAGATGAAATGGTGTATCCGAGTTCTGATTCTTCATGCCAGGCATGGGGATTAGATAACAGTTGACTTTTTAAATAATTCAAATGTTCAAAGATCCCAAACCACAAAAATAATTTTTAAAAATGGGGTACCAATTATATTATTGGGGAACATTGACCAAACATCTGTATTATGTAATGTTACAAGATTAATCATTGAAGAGCTGCGAAAGAGCGTTATCAATGGTTTTATGGTTATGGGAAATTCATTCAGGAAAAAGTTTACATACCTTAGATGAGGTTAGTACCATCTGATCTAATTACTCCTGAAGTTCTAGAGAAGACAATTCCCAATAGTCTTATACTTTGCAATGACTATCAACAAAAGTCGAAGTCAAACATTGTCATTTGTTGGATTATTTCTAACCAATCCGTTCTTCATTGATGGTTAGCTCTATTTTGCTGTTTTAAGAGTCAAGACAATGATAGGATTAAAAATATTGGTTCCAAATACCAAAATTGTTATATACCCTAAAATTTATCAAAAAAATTGGTATTAAATAAACTTTGTTGAGTATACATTCAATTCCTCAAATATTATTTATTCTACTTTGACATTTTTGTCTATAATATTAAAAATCATGTCAGAATTATATAATTTTTTGAAAAAATATTGCATTGAAAAGGTTTCAGAATGTACAAAAATTTAGTTCGACCTCGTGCGTCGCATGGGTTAGAATACTAGTTTCTTTAATATAAATGAGAAATACATGTAGGAACCTCTAATAATAATATTTTATCATTATAATTATGTGTCTTTAAGAAAATTTTCTCGGTTAATTTTATTGTTATTATTATCATTATTACTATTATTATTATTATCATATGATAATGGTATGTGCATATATTATATAAGTAGATTATTTCAGGAAAATATTATACATGGAAAATATATAATATTTATTTATACATATTATTATATATGGACATGCGATGGGGAATTAATACTATTAAAAATAGTATGATTTTTCTTGTTATTATTATTTATATTATTATTAATAATTTATTATTATTACTATATAAGTGCGATTATTCATAGTAGAACCTAGAGTATTAATAATACTGCGTGGGCTAATACTACTTATTTAATAGTATAAGTTTTTTAGTAAAAATTAGAATACGCAAGTTTTTTATTTTAAAAAAGTCAAGGTCAATCTTTGGAACATGTGAAATTATTGTTACGAAAACCAGTATTTAGTTATTGACAACTATATGTTGCGATTTCAAGAGTGACAAATCATAATAATGACTTGGCTATTCACCCAATGGTCTAAAATAATACCCTTCCGTCCAACAATAATGTGTGTTTGCACATTGCATCAATCGTTTGATAAGACAAAATATTCTTGTCACATCTTATTTTGTAGAACTTTTTGATATAGTTTTAAATAATGCAATTTGTACTTTTTTATGATATACCAATTTGTAAATAAAGTAATTTAAAAGAAGATAAGATTTTGCATGTTATTCATAATGAGAAGTTTATTGTTGGATGGAGGGAGTATTAGTGAAAGGATGCTAGAAGTTCAAGTATTTTTGCAATAGATTTTGAAATTCAGGACCGGGAAAAAAATTTCTCGAAAGTTTAGTATCATACATGAAATTATCGAGAAGATGAGTGCAAATGAAGTTAAATCTATCTTCAAAAGTGATCCACATCATTAGAAGAATGGAGTATGTGACATGTAAAATAAAACATTTTGTCAAACGTTTAAAAAAATAAAGACTAATAGTTTCAAGTGCAATCAAAGAAGTTAATCAGATTTTATACCGACTGAATTTTAAGAACCTCAATAAAATTTCATCAACTTCTTTCATTGTACTAGTAATTAATGATCTTTATCTAATTAATCGTGGAAAAGGCCGATGTGGGAAAGAAAGAAGTTGAGTAACAACAATAATGCAAATAGTAAAAAGGTAACTGATAAAAAGTAGAGTATCAATTACATTGTTCAAATTATATCAAAAATTCTACGAAACATGATGCGACAAAAGTATTTTATATTATCATATGATTGATGAAAATATGCAAACAAGATAAGTTATCGAGAAGCCGTAATTATAGAGAATAAAATGAAGAGTTGCGATAATGGTTGTGGCGGACTGCCGAAGTAGAAAGGTTAGGGAAAAAATTAAAGATCAAAGATGGCAAGATATGGGGTTAATGTGGGTGGATTACTAGAGGTAAAGATTGGATGATATTTAAGTCTTTTAGTGTGTGAATAGTTTTTATTTTTGGAATGGGAAGGTAGTTTAGGACATAGAAAGAAAGGGAAGTGGAAAGAACGTTTTAGAACGATTAGACCCGAGGCGCAGATTGGCACCAATCCCATAGTTGGTTAACTTTTTTTCTAGAAAAACTAATTCAGGTCGAATTTTGAGGATAAAAACATATCACTCTTATTTTAAGGATAAGACTATGTTTTATTTCTTTGTCAAAATTGACTCATAACTTTGCAGAATAGTGCATTTTTTAATAATAATACTAATGGTGATGATGAAGATAACCAAGTTCACTTGATGTTTATATATATGATCAACTAAACAAGGAATATTATATTGGCGACGGATGATATTGACCAGAAGCGGAAGTAGAAGACGAAGAACCAAAACCAGACTTGGAACTATGCTCGAGTCTCTCCCTGCGGAGGTCTTTCATGGCCTTGAACCTCAAATCGTCTACCCCCGCCTCTGGGATCTCATCAGGAACTGCAATGTTTCCCTCGAGCATTCCCACGACCTCTGACATCATCGGTCGCAGTGATGCCGTTGCACTCGTGCAAGCGAGTGCAACTCTCACTACAACTTCTGCTTCGTTCTTGTTGAACCGACCACACAACTTCGGGTCAAAGAGCTCTTCCAGGTCTCCCCCTAGCTGCAAGTGGCAAGCCTGGAACAAAGCTATGGTTAGTAGTAGTAGTATATAGGGTATGAGCAAAGTGATGTTTTTTAGCATGTAGGGGCAATTCCGGTAATCTAGCGAGTAGCGTCCTACAAGTAGGGACATTAGGATTGTTAGAGTATAAAACTTTTCCTGGGCCTAGAACTACAATTTTCAGCTTTTAATTGAGCATAAATAATTATATAAGAAATGAAAATGTATATGGTGGCTCAAAGAAGAGTACCCAATCCAAAAGACAAATGCAATTGTTGCTGGGAAGGTAGTTATTGTTGCTCTTGCCACTAACTATTTCTAGTAGTACAACCCCAAAGCTGTAAACATCTGCCTTGTAGCTCAAATAACCCCATAATGCATATTCTGGTGCCATATATCCCCTGAGTAATAAAAAAAATCATTAAAATATTTGAATTTTTTTACCAAAAATACAGCATAACCATATACCTGAAAGAAAAAAAAGGGTCATTTATGAGAGAAAGACGAATCGATCGACTTACACAGTTCCAGCGATTCTGGTGCTGATATGGGTCTTCTCACCTTCATTGAGCCTTGCTAATCCGAAGTCTGAAATTTTGGGGTTCAGGTTTCGGTCGAGCAAAACATTTGTAGCTTTGATGTCTCTATGAACAATTTTAAGGGTCGATTCCTCGTGAAGAAAGGCCAGGCCTCTAGCGATCCCCAAGCAGATGTTGAATCTTGTTGCCCAGTCCAGTATCATCCCAGAACCTGAACAAGAATCGTCATTCATATTACAGAATCTAACAGATGGAGCTAAAAAAACTAAATTTAAATAAAATGTGGGGTACAAATCAAATCAAATTTTAAAAAAACACGAATTGTTTTGTATAATTTTTATGTAGATTTTAATATAAATTTTATTTTTTTCATTTTATATCAATCTTTAAATAAAATGGATTGAAAATAACTTTAAGTCAAGCATCGTAACACGCAACCGACATGAGGCAGAGGGATTATTAGGTACTTGAGAGAGTTAAGGCGCAAATGGATAATTCAGCCCGAGCTAGGATGGCCCAAGACTCCATATGGCCGATGTTAGGTTGGAGGTGAGGGATGGAAGAGGTGTACCGTTGTTACCGAACAATGCATTAGCGAGGCTATTGTTGTCCATGTACTCATATACCACCAACAATTGATCTCCTTCAATGCAACAACCATATAGCTTAACGAGATTGGGATGCTGCAAGCAAGAAATCATCCCAATCTCATTCAAGAACTCGCGGTTTCCCTGCCTTGATTTGGAGGACAATTGCTTCACAGCAATCAAGGTCCCATCACCTAATTGACCCTACACAAGAACCATGTCTTAGAGGAGGAAGACCATAAATGTACAAGTCATCTTCCTCTTATGGCATACCTTGTACACAGGACCAAAGCCACCTTCTCCTAGCTTGTTTGCATCGTCGAAGTTGTTTGTAGCAGCTTTCATTTGTTTTAAAGTATATGAAATCGTTTGCAACTCTACCCCTTCCACATCTGTCCAATGGGAAGACACTTTTATTGGTAATTCGAGTCCCAACGACCTCAAACACCTCAACGTGTAAGTGTGTAATGTCAAGGGGATTGTTATTTAAAAAAAATTACTCCGTACTTTTTTGCTATTCCAAGTTCCTATACACTATCACCACGTTTCAATACCTTTGTTTTTTCTTTTCGAGTAAAACGAAGAAGAGCCTTTACACCACCACCAGAGAAAGCCAGATATGATCAAGACAATGCATCCAACCAACGACCCAACAATAATGAAAGCAACTGCGCCTTTCTTCTTTTTATCCCCTTCCTCATCTTCACAAGTTCTGAAATCTGTTAAAACAGTAAAAGAAAATGATCACATCTCTATAATAATACAATGACTTGAATGTTGATTTGCTACGGTACTAGTATACTCCCTCCATCCCATTAAAAGGTTCTACCTTTCCTCTTTTTATTTGTCCCAAAAATAGGTTACACTTTCAACAAAATAATTTCACTTTTCTTAATCTCTGTGCCAAGTCAAAGGTGGAACCTTTTTTTGATACGGAGCTAGTATTTATATTTAGTGGATGCGGGATAGCTTATAATGGCTTATAATAGCTTATACTAGCATGGAAAAAGAAAAGATGGCTATATTCTGGCAATATCCCACTGATTGTAAATGAAAAGGTCACAAATTATCACGAGTTAAAAACAAATGCTCAAATTGCCTTACGCGGATCGACTGAAATAGCAGATATGAGAGAGCCATAATGCCCTCTAAGAGGAATGCGTGTAGTCCCTTTGCCGGCCCAATAAAGTCTGATCTCCAAGAAATTATCGGTTACATTGACATTAAAGTGCTTAACAATAGGCTTTAAAGCTTCTTTAGCCTCATCTTCAATGTTGAAGTCTTTCCACACTAAACTATCCTGTTAATGAAAGTCATATAAGCAATCTACATCAATTAAAAGGCAATAAAGTTGTAAAGTCTGTAAGGTTTTCTCTGGTTAGACTAGCTAAATGAATCACATGAGAGATAAATGAAGAATCAATAACCTGGATATATATGTCGAACACACGCCTCCCAAGACTGTAATATGTGTTGTTGGTGAAAATAATCTCCGCAAAGTGAAGACGAACATCATAGCCTCCGTTCTCCAAGCAATAACGGAAATAAGTGAGAGAAAGAGGAGAAACACGGGCATTACTGTACAACTCGGAAAGGCCCATTGATTGAACGGTCTCGATGAAACGGGTGTTTTGATCATTAGAATCATCCATGAAATCACCGGTGCTACTGAACCCCCAATTGCCACTGCTACTGCTGAAATATTTTGCTGAACCGCCTTCAACTCCTGCATCCCCTTCATAATCAACTTCCTTGTTTCCCTCATTGGCAGTTACATGATTACCCCCGCAATTGACGTGAAATGAACAACCATCTGTGAATGATGGTTTACCACATTCAATGAGACCGTAAGGGTCCGTTTGGAAGTTGACAAATGCTGTGCGAATAAAATACAGAAGTAGAGTGGAGATTTAGAATAAACTCACATCTTGGACAGCTGAAACCATTCGTGCATGGAAGAAATCTTTGTCTGTGTAAAGCACGAAGGTAAATTACCTTAGTTGCGCTTTGAAAAAGGAAACCATTTACTTATTAAACCTGCAAACTTTTCTAATACAACATATTTGCACTAAAAAGTGACTAGTCTAAAGCTCAAAAATTAAATTAATTAAAAAGTAGGACTCTTACGTGGAATTTCCTGTTAAAGAGCTCTTGTACAAATTTACGTATAAATTCCTAAGTTTGGGGAAAAGCATAAAAAGAGTAATTGTCAGGCACACAATTTGCATCCTTTAACACACTACAGGTATTGAATAAAGAACATTCTCACATGTTTGGTCGGCAAGCTGGCTGATCGGGGCCTTGCCATGTTAGGTTATTGTAGGAAAGATCACTGCAAAAGTAACATAAACTCAGATTTCATCCGTTGGATTGCCGCCAACGTGCATTTAATAATTCCACTCCACACATCACCATGGCTTGGATAATCCAGCGGCCGAAATAAAATACAAAATATAGTTTCAGGAAATAAAGATTTCATCAATGTTAAAAGAGACAGGTAAGACAAGGTAATTCTCAATTTTTTTGCTAAAATATAACTTAGTATTTTTTGGCTGCATTTCCCATTTTAGCCATGTTAGAAAATAAAACCTTTCCTGGGCCTACAACTAGAAGCTTGAGCTTTTGGTTAAGTTGGTTCTATGACAAGCCGAATCCGATCTCCGAATCAACTGTTTAAGAATCAGCTGATTCTAGCACATGATTACTTCTGAAAATCAGGGCAGAATTCTTCTCAGAATCTAAAACAAATGCAGCAATTAACAAATTTTGGGATGAAAATCTGCAGAATCAACCGAATCAGCTTTTCATAACTGAACCCAGATGGCTCCTTAATTGTAACACGCCAAACAAAATAGTTCTCAAATAGGCTCATGATAGCAAGTGAACCTACAGGTTAATTCCATCCATCAAGATTGACTCAGGTACATATCCGCTGAGCATGTTCCTGGTTAAAAAGCTTTCCACAAAATTGTCATTCAATTAGTATCATACACGGCTGGACAAAGACAACTTCCAATAAAGCCATAGAAAGATAGCTACTCACACAAATTTAAGCATACTCCGTGCACTAATAGTATTTGGAATTTCTCCAACTAGCATGTTGAAACTGAGATCTCTGCACAAAATGAGATAGATGTGACTTTTTATAGATTATCAGAGGAATAACCCAATGTCTTTTATGTTTGTATTCGAATACTTGTTTGAGGTGGGATACATTGACATTAAAATATTCAATAAATACTTACAATGTTTGCAATCTTTTCCACTTCCAAATATATGAAGGAACTTCCCCGGATATGTTGCAATTCCTCAACACACTAGAGAAAATCCAGAGCCCGTATTAAGAAAAATAAAGGAGTTATCAAAACCCAACAACACAGTATGGTTCCAACTCCATTGGGGTTTTGAAGGTCAAAATGTGTGCAGTCTTACCCCTATGTAAACAGGGAGACTGTTTCCGTTAGATCCTAAATGCACTCTTGCTTTTACTGCCCAAAACTTCATAGAAAGTAAGAAGCAAGAGGATTTTAATTAATGTGCCATTTTGATTTAGTCTATTATGTGTCTAAAATGGATGGACAACAACAACAACATCCCAATTGAATCCCACTACAGTAGGGTCTGGGGAGGGTGTGTGTACGCAGACCTTGCCCCTACTCGGAAGTAGGGAGGCTGTTTCTAAGGTGTCTAAAATGGATGGAAAGCTATCAAAATCTTATTTACTATTGATTAGGGTCACTCGACTTACAGTATAGTTAGACCAGCCATAGCTTCAAGTTGAGGAAATTCCTGAGAAGGTCCATTTATATCACTTATCCTCCTTAACAAGAAAATGCCACCAGGAGAGTTTGTCAACAGGAAATGGCCTTAAATGGCTATTAAAAAAGCACAATGCACATACTTATAATGTGGCAACATACTTACAGATCAATCAATTTATTTAGAAGAGATATGTTTGCAGGAATCGGCCCCTCAAATCCAGTGGCATGTAGCTCTCTTAATTAGTAACCCATACTAAATATTAGATGCCAAAAATTAAGCACAAAAAAAAACAATATGCTGGCAAGAGAAATTTAAAATATGTGCAGGTGCAAACAATCTTACAACTTTGTAAGTTGTTTCCAGTTCTGTATAACATCCGGAATTGGCCCGCTCATGTTGTTGTCGTTTATCCTACTGCATTGCAAAGGATAATATGTCAAAAATAGAAAGACAACTGTGGGGTCCGGGGGAAGAAGGAAGAGAGGTTTCCAAAAGACCCCAGAGTCAATAATACAGAGATGAAAATCAAACCAGCATACACAAAGCAAGTGTGGCTTACAAATCGGTTAAGTTTGTAAGTCTAGAAAATGTTTTTGGTAAGTTTCCCACCAAAAGGTTGGAGGATAATATCCTGAAATTAAAAAATAATGCTTAGTGAATCATCCAGGTAGATGCATGTTCTTCCTTCAGTACATAAGACAATCACACATAAAGAAGAAAAGGATCTCACAGAGTTTGCAGGTTTATCAGTTTTCCGAGTACAAAAGGAACAGTTCCCGAAAACTGGTTCCCTTCAAGATTTCTGGAATTACAATATCAAAAATCACACAATCAAAAAACTTAAGGTAGTGTTTGGGAACTATGAATTCCTTTGACTTCTTGTGGATTACTGGATTTCAATTCTAAACTTTATATTTTTGGATTTAAAATAACAATAGGAGGGTATAGATTTGTAATTGAGCTTTGTTAGGATTTGGAAAGGTTTGGTCCAAATCCAAATTTTTTGGATTCCCAAACATGAAAAAATGGTAATCTGATATCCAAATTTAATACTTACAGGTATGTGAGGGTGGTAATATTGCCCAAAATTTGTGGAATTTCTCCTGACAACCGATTTACAAGAACAGAGCTGAATATTTATTGCCAACGGAAAAAAAAAGAATCACCATTTGGTTTCAATGCATCAAGAAATATTATTTAACCAAAGAAGATGAAGCTTACATGGACTTTAATGGGATTGAGCCCCATTCGACTGGTATTGTACCACTGAGAATATTGTATGCAAAATCTCTAAAAGTAAAAGAGAAACAATTATTTTTGTGTGTTAAAATAGATTAAAGAATGTAATGCTTGAGTTCAGATGCATACAAAAAAGGCTCTTTCTTACACTTCTTGTATATAGGGAAGTTTTACCAGCTCGGCTGGGAGGACTCCACGAAGACTGAAGCCCTTTATCGCACTGCATTTGTTAAAATATTGCATCATATGACTCTTGGAAGTTGGAAATGAAATTAATTTGAAAATGTGGTCTGTAATTAAGAAAAGAATACAAAATTCTCTTGATATTAGGTTCAGTTATCCTTTTTGCAAAAAAACAATGTGAACATTAGGGTCCGTTTGGAACTCAGAAAATGCTACGAAAAGATTATTGTGGGGAAAATATACAATCTATTTGGAGGGGGATAAAAGGTGACAAGAAATTTTACAAAAATTGTTCAAACTCAAAAGGATTATTTTCAATTATATAAACACAAAGATATCTTAACATACTTCAAAAAAATTAAAACATTTATGAGGTCCGTTGTCTCTTCCGTGGTACATCCGTACATCCAAGAACAAGACTAACTTCCCGTAGCACTTTCTTTTCCCCTTTCTCCAACATTTTTGTGGATTCAAACAAACCCTTAAATTATGTTCATTACAAATGCATAAAATGACAAACATATTTTCCAGGAAAAGCAAGATCTTAAGAAACTACAATCTAAATCATACATGGCAAGTTTCATTCTTCATAACTTTGTTTTATTGTGATGTTGATTATAGACTAAGAGGGTGTTTGGTAGTGCGCTGCTTTTAACAATTTAGCTTCTGCTTTGAGTGGAAGTGATTTTACTCTGTTTCAGAGAAGCAGGTATGAGGTGCTTTTGCTTTCAGCTTTTGTAAAATTACTTTATCCATAAGCTAATCACTCTCAAACACCCTCTAACTGTCATTCAAGTGTGTTGGGTGGCTTAGGGGCATTGTTGTAAAAATCCTCGCCAAGGGCCAACTATGATTTTTTTCCACTTAGGCCAAACTAATTCCATATAGATACCAGCTAACCCAGACTAATCAGCCATAAAAGCTATGTTGCACAAAATCTTCAAATAAATGTTGCTTTCTGTTCCTGAAATATTCCTATTTGGCTACTTGGTAGCCTCCTCACACCCAGATCCTTTATAAAAATTGTAAAAGTTGGTGTTTCCACATTTATGATTTGTCCCCGTATAAGTACGTGCTTTCGTCTCATTGCAACTTCGTGTACAAGAACATATGTAGCATGATACATTCTGAATATGAATATGTATAGTATAGGACCTTTACATTTTCTGGATATGGCATAACGAATCATTTCCAATGGTGCAATTGCAGTCAACACTGTTGTCGAACCAATTCGGTTGTTGTGTTACTACCCCGACTACAGTACTCTCACATGGATCAGGAGCGAACTTCCAGTCTTTTGCACCCAATGTAGTGGCAATTTGTCGCAATGCATCAACTGACAAATGAAACAAAACATCATTCAAGAACAAGAAGCTATACTTTCATGACGGAAACTCGAGAGAAATCACCACAACAACAACATACATACTAAGATCCCAAAAGTGTGGTTTGGAGAGGGTAGGTGTACGCAAACCTTAACTCTACAAATAAAGATAGAAAGGCTATTGTGGAAAGACACTAAAGAAGCATAAATTTGAAAATGATCTCCAATGGGTTTAAACTTGAGATCTTGTTTGAAAATGGTCACATGGCCATACAACTATTTATAGTATTTAAACTTAAGATCTCCTTGTTTACTTCTCATGAAAGTGCTTGTTCTTCAATACCCCAAAGACCAAAAACAATGTACTTTCATGCCTCTCCTACACTTCCAGAGGACTTCCTATATGTTGGAATGTTGCCATAGATGCAAGTAAACCGGTGGGACCCACAACATTGTGGATGGTATAAGTGTATAACATAAAATGGTGTCACTGTCACATAGAGCAATGTTCTCTCCATGTATGGGGGATGGTCATTTCCTTAATTCCTTGGGAGGGGTGTGTTTGGATGAGGGGTTTTAGTATACATCTAGATTGATTTATAGAATATTTTTAAAAATGAATAACAAGCGATTGAAATGTTGTACTTTTACATATAATCCTAGTCTTTCAATTTTTATATAATTGTGAATACATATCAAGATATGGACTAAGAGCATCTACGTTCCAAGTGCCCTTCCCAAAGGATCCTATTTAAAAGCTAGTGCTTCTAAGAACCTATGCAATATGCTTGATGACACGGATTGCTTTGGAAGATATGATTGCTTCCTTTTAAAAAAAATCTATATGCAAGAACAATTTTAAATAATGGAGCAAATAATTTATTCAAAATCTTAAAAAACAGTTCCAATGGATGAAAACATAATGAACCAACACTCTTAGGCTTCCTATTCATAAATTGAATTATTTATCACTTGGACAAACCAAGCAAAATACCACAAAAAGTAAAGTCATGGAGAAGTGTTTACCCAAGCCTTATCCCTAAAGCCCTACTCAGAATTATAGAGTTGTTTCCAAGAAACTTCCAACTCCAATACAGAAGCACAAATACAGAAGCACAGACAAAGTAAACATAGTACCCACTGCTAAACTATGCCTCACTTTGGCCAACTTCTAGAAATCAGTAAGACCATCAAATTCCTTGTTTGGGTTTCAGATGAAATTCAGTGGAAATGAAACAAAGGGGAAAGTGAAAAATCCCACCTTTTGACTAGTTTCTATACTTGTAAACACAAATGGGCTTTTTAAATTTAAAGAAAAGGAAAATACATATGAAGAACAGAAAGATCTGGTTCACCTTCATCTTGAGCGGTCTTAGATTCTGAAAATGTCAACAAGATGAAGCAACTAAGTGGAACAAACAATGAAACAGCACTTCTTTTCCTGCAGAACATGCTCCTTGAAGCTTCAATGAATGAGTGGCAAAACAGTGGACACGAACATAGAATAACACTGCCCTAATATGAATTTCAAGAATCTACGAGGACATATCAGCAAACCCAATCGAGCTTATGTGGATTATGGAATGGTTCTTTTTCAAGATTCCCACTTTCTTTTACTATGAAAGGTTTTGAGTAATGGCAGATTCTCTTTCGAGGAAAAAGAGGCCTTAGCAAGTGGGTGTTTTTTTAAAAATGGGAAATAAGTCAAATACCTGGTGGAGGGCAGAATTGGAAAGACCGGAAATGAGTTGAGAAAATCAAGCTCTCCATTTCTAGACTCTGGACTCTGGAGTTGAAAAACAGGTCTCACAGTTGGTAAACATCCAAACCATTAACAGTCTTGCTTGCGGCCGGTTCGATTCCTACTCCATACAAAAGTGTAGAATTGAATTTCTTTTATGATTCTTTATCTTTGAAACATGATTAATTGGCATATATCTTGCCATTAACAATGTTATACACAAGTTTATGATAACGTTAAATAGATTTGAATATTAAAAAAATTAAAGTATATATTAAATACTTTTTCCATCCTAATTTAAATTGCATGTTTGATTTACGATGTTTGACTGAAGTTATTTTTAAATAATTTTAAATGAAAAATGGTGTTTAATTAAAAAGTTACGTATTTAAAAACTACATCAAAAGATCTACAATTTTAGTAGTGACATAACTATATTATTTTATTAAGAGCATTGGCATGGGCGAGTAAAAAAATTGTCTCGCCCTGCCACGAGAGGAGAGCCGCTTCTGGCAGCAGCGTGGGAAGAGAGAGGAGGAGTCTGCCATGCGTGTCTGCTTTGCGAGGCACCCTGCTTTGCGAGGCATCCGCGAGGCAAATCCAAAGTCCTCCGCCACTCTTAGATCTGCAACCCCAGATCTACCCCTCTGCCATCCGCGATCTCTAATTTTGTCGTGTCACGCCTGACTTGCCATTGCAAAACCATGGAATGCCACACTCTTTGCACGCTTGATTTGATTGGTTGAAAGGTAACACGTCATCCCATGGCATTCCATTACAATACTCGCCATTGTCAATGCTTTAAATGACTAATGAAAATATGGAAAAAAGTGAATAAGTTTGACATTGTGAATAGTAAAGAAACAATTTAATTTGAGAGGAGAGAGTAGTAAATGTTTAATTAGATTCCCCATATGAACAAAACAATTTCAATAAGGTAACAAAAAATAGGGGGTGGTTTCTATGACATTGATAATCAATGTCATGAGATGATTAAGAGGGTCTTACGATGTCTCGTTCATAAAATTAATACGGAGTAATTCTTACCCTCTAACCCTCCCGGCAAACCCCCACCCCGCCTTTATACGAACTCACCCTCACCTCCTTCAAGTTTATTTGACTTTGAATTCAAAATTTTGACTTCAAAGTCAAATAAACTTAAAGGGTGCACTCGAAGAAGTGGAAGTAAGTTCAAGTCGGGGCGAGAAGGGTAGATTAATGGAGGGTAGGGACCATCAATTTTTTAAACAGAGAATCGTACATGTCTCGGATCACATTATAACATTGTCGGGCAATGTCATATGAAGTGTGGTGCAAAAATTAATTACTCTGTAAGTCACTACATTATTGAAAAGAAAAAAATCACACAATCAAAAGAGATCTAATTACAACAAAATCATGTTTTATATATCAAAATAAGACTTTTAGGATTTTTATAAAAAATAGAAAAAATAAAGTCAAAGACAATTAATTTATAATGCCAAAAATATAGTGAAATACAAACACATTTCATCAAGTGGTGGCATTGCAGAATGTCAACGCTCTTATTTAGAATCAATAATATAGAAAGGTCCCAAATTAGATTATAATTTTAAAATTACGAGACAAAATCTTGTTGCATAAAGATTGGTATAAAAATAAAATAAAACTTTCATAAAATGTCAGAAGTTCTATGCAAACATGTGACAAAAATATTATTTTATCAAATAAGCACTAAGAACACACAAATAAATAATATTTATCGAAAGGTGAGAGAAAACATTATAATCTATTGCGGGACGGAGGGAATATAATTTTAATATTTTAGTCTCATTTATGTAGATTATTTCTAGATCTTCATCGAGTTTAGACATTGCATGTCCTATTCATGTAGATTATATCTAAACCTTAACCGATTTATACATTGTGTATATGTATGTGATTGTGAAGACTTGGTGTACAAATGAATACTCCATTAGTCCATTTTGGTGTATACCCTAAGAAGAAGGAGAATCGGAAGCCCTAGTTATTCAAAGAAGTAGGAGCAGGATCAGAAATCAAAGAAGAAGATTTATAGTTGATGCAAGGCCAACTTTCAAATATAGAAGACGAAACAGAATAAATAGCAATCACTCTATTATATGGCTTACCTATTGTAGTTTGTTTTTATGTAGAGTGGTCAAACCTTTTAATTCTACACTTTACTCAATTTTACATGGCCCATTAGAGTTGCTCTTATAGGCTTTTACTAATGTCATTTAAATGGGAATCATGGGACTACGAATATCTCAAGATTAACTTTCATAGTGATATATCTAATGACTAGAATGTTCATATAGGTCGTTTCTACGTTCATAAATAGTCATTTGGTTGGGTTTGTGTTTGACATGCTTGAAGAACTAATAATCGTAAACCTTGAGTTTGATGTTAAAATTATGAATTAATGATGCTAAAACGATCTATGAACCTTGGGAGAACATTTTTATATATTTAATTGAAGTTTGGGGACTAAAAATGACATTTCCGTAAGTTGACTCGAGGTAGAAGACGATGCATAATTGATTATTAACTTGAAAATCGATTATTCATCATTCTGCAGATTTTTGGAACACAGCAGAGCAACAGTCGATTGTCAGAATGTGACAATCGACTGTCAGCCTTCTCTGAAGTTTGATAATCGACTATCAGAATGTGATAATCGATTATCAGCCCATTTTGAACATCAGATAGTAGATTATTAGAAGAGATAATAGACTATCTCCATACACTATTAAAGAAAATGAAGCTAGCAGCTAATATTGAATTTTCTATCATATATTAATCAATTATTGTTTAGAAAACATGATTTTTAAACTATGGAATCTTATTTTGATATCAATAAATTATGATTAATGTAAAGATAATTCGTTGGAATATAAATGATGTTTTGATAACTAAAAGGATCTTATTTGATGCATGACGGTAAGTTAGGGTGTTAACACTCAATTATAGGCCGCTAATTGTTATTGGATATTATGATGATTGATTGATTATTGATTATAATGAATATTATGGATTAATGATGATGATTATTCTGAATAAATGACGATTATGAAATATTGAACTAAGATTCAAAATAAATGGATTGATGACAAATGAATTGTATTATTAAGGCTATCTAGAAGATCTCTAAGATAACCCTCAAATTAGATTGGGCATTGCATGTATAAATATATATATATTGGGTGGCCTTGGGTAAAAACGTACGTATGGGATCCATAAACCAAACTAGAGGCACTCGTTTGGGGATACAACCCAACCCGACAGTTAGTATTCTACTGCTCGGTTTTTTTAGATTTGTACCTTAAGCGAAAGCTAGTTTAAGAGTTGGTTAATCAATCAGAACATATATATACCTTAAACTAATGACCTAGTTTAAGAGTTGGATAGATGTACCTTGAACTAGAACTAGTTTAAGAGTTGGTAAACATAAAAAAGTTTGGCCTTAGACTAAGCATAGTTCAAGGATATTGTGGAATATGAATGTTGAATGTTGAGATATTGAATATTGAATATGAATGTTGAGATATTGAAATAACTTGGAATAAAATATTGAGAATATCATGAATGAATCATATACTGTGTGTATGACATCAAATGATTAATTATGAATTGAGATTCAATTTATGTGGATGTTCGACGTTTTAGATATGTTTACTCAGCTTCACCGCTAAGCATGTAGTGTGTTTTATTTGCTACACGCAGATAGACAGAATGAGTGATTAGCATGTTCCTGGTAGCAGAAGGGGCGAGACTGTCATGGTGGAATTTGTGATTTTAAATGAATAATTGTGTTGTTATTAAACATGGTTTAAATTTGCTTCCACACTATTATTAAACACTCCGTATTTTATTACAGTTATGTGTTGAATATTATTTATGATAAATAAAGATGTTGAAATGTTTTAAATTTTTACGATTTCCAAATTAATACTTTAGTCCGAAAAGGGCTGCAGACCTGGACGAATTAGGATGTTACAGAAATAATATTATACATTTCATCATTGGATGGATAGAAACTAGAGAATGGATAAAAAATGTATGATGAAGGATGAAATGTTGTTCAAATTGGGGTACAAAATGGTTTACTCCTAACATTACTCAAGAAATTTGGTTAATTTTTCTAAGGTTTAGAGCGCCTGCTGGTAGCATTAGGTGTCAGTTCAATTCAAAACATTCCTCTAGAAACAATTTACCATACTTAATACTTTATTTCAATTCTTATATTTTAATTTTAAAATTTGAATTCATAAATTATTAATGACCAAGAAGGGAGTCATATGGATTTACAATATAGCATTTAAACCAAATCTAGATATTTTGTAAATGACCAAGAAGGGAGTCATATGGATTTACAATATAGCATTTAAACCAATTCATAAATTATTTTTCTAAATATTTTGTTCCCAAATATAGCATTTAAACCAAATCTAGATTTAAAATCCACGTTCTAAGAACGTGTTTCTTAGTGTTGGGAGTCATGAAAAAATCAAATGTGCTAAATAAGAAAAGCAAAGCAGTTGCTCCAAGCTTAAAGCTTTGGTAAAATCATTTCTATACCAAACTTTACACTCTGAAGTCACAATCTATAATCTAAAACAGATTGGAAAATATTGAAAATTGTATTTTAATGAAGTAAAAAGCTCAAAAGTTATTTCCAAACACACTCTCAAACCCCTTCTAGAACATGTCACCAAAGATATCATCGAGTGAGCTGACCTGAAATTTTAAATTAATAAAACATCGTTAGTTCCATGAACAAGGGAAAATAAATTTAATTTCAACTTAATAAGTACTCCTTCCATCCCAAATTATTTGCAACGTTTGTTTTTTCAGCAGTTGCGGAAACTTTTGTTTATTTCTACTTTTTCATTGGTTATTTAATAAAATAAAATATTCTTGACACCCCTTATTTCGAATAACTTTTCATGTAGTTTTTTGATTTAGGGGCGGAGGGAGTATATGAGTGGTTGTGGAGTTCAAGGTAATGTGGCTTTGTAGTTAAGATTCATTATGAATCTACATATGAACAAAATAAACATTTAATATTTTTGAATTTTAAATTTTTAAAAAAATATGTGAAAAGATTCATAAAAATGATATGCACCCAAAGTGCACCATACAAATAAGGTAATAGGTCTCATCTTTTTTACTAAAGATGGTCTTACATCTCTTAATCCTCATTCTTTGTGCATGTGTCACAAAGTAATTATTTGAAAACAATCCATTTTTATACTCTTTCTCCAATAATAAGAAATGAGTTATGCCAAGTGTAAGTCATTTGTACACTATTAATCCTCCCCATTTAATCATTATCCATTTAAAATTTTTAATCACACTTTGAATTGTATAATGGAGATATAGTGGTGTACATTTTAGATATACTTTTTGGTGTATCCCTAATATTTTTTTTAGAAAAAAAATTGAATGGTACTAGGAGAACCCCAAATATTACACACACCGTATATGTATACACAAATATTGAGTCTCTCTGTGCGTCTATATTTGCATGATATGTACTTGATGGCAATGCCCACTTTTCTATTTCATTGACTTCATCCCCGTTTGGCATCAACATTAGAAATCGGCATTAGTATTTTGAAAAAGTTATTCAATAGTAGCCTTCAGAATTAATCTACACCATTAAAATTTTATCCAAAATGCTAACGCTAATAAACTAAGTCGTTCCCAAACAAGGTTTCATAAGATTGTAACCGTGTAGGATAAAGGAAAAAGTGTGGGAAATGCAGAGTAAAAAACCTGCAAGACATGAAACCACAGCCGGATATTCTCTCGACGAAGATCCTGCAATTAGGGCACCTCTTCCACTCCTTCCCCTGCGCGAGATTCATCATCTGTATGTCCTCCCTCTGTCTCTCGTTCAGATTCAGTTTCTGGAAATCGGAGCAAGAGATCTCAGAATGCCACGGAACCTGACACTTTGCGCAGAACAGTCTCCGGCATTCCGGACACTCCGACTCCTCGATCTCCGCCTTCTCGTCCACCAGCAGGGCGGAGCAGTCCTTGAACGGGCAGAAGAACTTCTCCGACGCCTGGATCATCGCCTCGCACAGCGCGTCCCCCCACCGATCGAACACCGCCTTCGGCAGAATCGGCCGGCAGTGGAGCGGATCCAGCAGCCCGCCGCAGCCGGGAACGGGGCAGCGGATCTGCGAGACGTTGTCCTGTAGCTTCGAATCGACGTACGCGGACACGCAATCGGAGCAGTAGGAATGGCTGCAGCTGTTGATCCGGAATAGTCGGGATCTGTTCTTCTCATCGCAACAGATTTCGCAGGTGAATTTCGGCGGAGGGACATTCGGATTTGATTCGAGGATTTGAACTTCGTCGTCGGAGTAAACCATGGCGGCCGGCTACGGCTTCGATTTGAATTTCACGGTGAGTGGTCGTGGTGTGTTTAAATGCTTGGAGTCAGATTGTCACGGCGGTTGGAGTCCCCTGAAAAGCATTTGCCGCCAAAACTCTTCGAAACCCTTGACGCCGCCGGTGAAGGTAATTAATTACTGTAGCGTTTATTTTCGAGATTAAAATTCATAGTCGATATTTGGCGGTTTGGTTGCTAGGTCAAATGACTCAAATCCAACCTCTAGACAAAAAAGTAGAGATATGCTAAATTCCAATTTGCTACGGAGTATTTTTGTCAATCTCTCGTTAAATAGATTGGGCCCAATCCTAATCCTTAAACCGGCCAGACGGCCCAATCTATGAAAGAAGGGCGTGACCCAATAATGAGTGTGAGATTTATACTTACGGTCAAATTAATGTCATGTGAGGCTATAAGGTCTTGTTTGGATGTTGGCTGTTGGTAGTTCATATCAGCTGTTGTGAATGACTGTTCAGTTCAGTTGGTTTGGCCGGCAAGATGAATTGGCTGATCGTTAAAAATGTTTGGTAAAATTAGCTATTTGAAAATAGTTTTCAACCAGCGAACCGGAAGATAAATTCCACCGTCACAGTACACTACCCGACTTCATATTCATTACATTTCAAATAAAAAAATAAAAGGAAATTAAAAAAAACTAACATATACTAAATCTATCTCAAACTAAATGTTTTCATTTTTTATTTTATAAAACAAAAAGAAATTTTTTTGGGATGCTCTAAAAAGAAATTGATAAGTAGAAAAAGAAAATAGGAAAGAATGCAAATAGCAAGAAATGAAAAGGCAAAAAGATACAAAAAATCCACTTATATGAAAAGAGAAAAACATAGTCATGGAGTGTGCTAATAAGTCTTGACTTTTTTGGGATGTTCCAAAAAAGTTACCCAGTACTATTTTTTATTTTAAAATGAATTGATGATTGTTTACAATTATTTGAATCTGTTACGTGTCAATCCAAAAAAGGGAGAAAGATCAGAACAAATGTAGAATATAAGAAAATAACCAAAATACAAATATTATGTTTTTATTCTCAAAATATAACAAAAATTCATTTTTTCTCTGTAAAAAATCCACGCTAATCCATTAAAAATATAATGTTACCTATTTCTCATCGCAGTGTGACTGTGCGAGAGTGCTAAGATGCAACGTCAGTCGAAGCTACAACGAGAAAAATGGTATTATATCTCGACAAACATGATCTGAAATAATCCTAATACCGTCAAAAATACAAATAAAATACCAAGAATCAATGTGATTTGCTGTATAATACTCTATATAACCTTTGGCCATTATATTGTATCACAAATGTGAGTTCCCAACATATAATGTTGCTTATAAGATGTATAACCAACCTTTGATTGATCCGAATTAAATGTGATTCGATCACAATGTTTGTTTTGAAAAACAAAAATATAATGTTGAGATTGTCAATCTTAAATTAGAGAAAAAGAAAGGAAACAATCTCCAATTTAACGAAAAAGAAAGGAAACAAAAAAAATAGCCAAAGTGTTGTTGCAAAACTTCTAAGCTACGAGTAGTTTTTTTTTGTTTTTGTTTTATTTACTCATTGAGTTTCGTATGATAAAAGTCTCATTTTAACGAGAATTCGCAGGGATTGGGACAACAATCCCTGCGGGATCCAAGGAGCAGAGATCCTAGTTGGGATCGAGATGTCAAGTCAACTCAAATTTTTTTTATTTTGGACAAAGTGTTGTGTTATCATCACAATTAATCCGTGTTTGGTTATTAAACTTTTCCAACTTTAAGACAAATCAAAAGAATCACCAAGCAAAATTAAGTAAATAGGGAGTTTAATTTCATCATCATGCGAATTGCCAAAGTTGACTATTCTTTTTTAAAAACTTCTTGCATATATGCCATCATATGAAGAAATAAACCAATTATGCTACTTGTTTTATTTCTTTCAAGCCATTATATTTGACTTCCATTTGGTTTATTTTGAAATTATTAGAATCTTATAATTACATTTTAAAAAGAGATACTCCCTCCGTTCTAAAACTTTCTTCCCATGGTTAAGATATATCAAATTACATTTTAAAAGAGATAATCTTATAATTACATTTTATTTTTCAAATTACACCAAACACTAGAGCCATTAAAATCATTTAGATATATCACCTTGGTTAAGTTCCTATGACATTGAGATTCAATGTCATAAGATTACATGAGTTTCATACGATTCTCCGTTCAAAAAATTGATAGTTTCTACCCCCTTAACTCATCCAGTAAACCCCCACTCCCGTCCGAGTCCAAACATACCCCTGGACCACTGTCAATTGCATGCCACAATATTTAGTTGACAACTTGTTTTTTCGGCACATAGTTTTATTTGTAAAAGTGGGTCCCAACTGGTGTCTATACATTGACAACTTGTTTCTTTTTCTTTCCATTTTTTTCTTTTGATTATTAATCAAATCCAACAGTTAAGAAACCAATTCAACCAAAAGGTTAAGCTAGGCGTAGTCTTTTTTTAACCTTGCACGTGAAACCTTAATTTTTTTAAAACTGGGTGTTGTCCAGTTTTGAACCTGTGATCTTAGTCAACAAGGCTCTGATACAACTTGTAGGACCTCAAGCGCTACCAACTCTTCTAAAATTAATTGGTGTTAGAAGAAGCACATACTCTAGCCTAATATTGCATTCAGTACATTCAGTACACATTAATGCACACGTGGTCGTCAATCTCCCACACGGCAATTGCTCCCGCTGGAAATCGAACTCGTGACCTTGGCTTTGATACGATGTCAATGAACTAATTCAACCAAAAGCTCAAGTTTGTGGCTGTGGGCCAAGAGAGGTTATTTATACTCTAACACCAACCAACTCCACTTTGATTAAATAATCAAAATTAAAATTCTATAGCTCCACCTCACTTGTCCTATGAGATCACCGTTATCCCAAAAGAAAAAAAGACCTATGGCTCCCCCTCGATTTATCCCCAGAGATAACCGCCAACCTCAAAGAAAAAAATCTTTGTGGCTCCACCTCGATCAATCTATCGAGATCCCTGCCACCTTAAAAATATCATGTGACCATATCTTGCTTAAAACCGCAATATCTATGCCACCCTTTGTTGCTTTTGTGGCTTCACCTTGTTCAAAACCACAAGTTTTGACTTTTTTCAGTCAATCGTTTTCAACTTTTGACTTCTAATTAAATAAAATATACGGAGTATATTGTATACTCACTCCGTCCTAAAATGAACTTCTCAGTTCAGTTGACTGTAATTATTTTCAATTCAATTTATTTGATTATAGGTGTAAAATTAAAAATATATATATATATTTTAAAACTCCATGAAAAGTTCTACGAAACAAGAGGTGAAAAGTGAAAATAGCTAAATGAAATGATTAAGGTTTGATCATGTGAATAGTGACTATGAAGATCATTTTAGTACGGATGGAACATTTATTAAATAAAATAGTATTTTGAAAATATTTTATATAACAAATCTAATAAAATTATTTTTATATCAAAATCTAATATTTCGTATCATTTTTTTATTATTTTAGGGTCAAAATTTATCAATTTTGACTAAAAAAAAGTAAAAATAGATAAATTTGGAACAAAGGATCTAATTAATTGGGTTGAATCTATATATTTAATTTAAATTTAAATTTTCTTTTTCAATCGGGTTTGGGAGTTTATTTCTCCATGGTATGTATCCTCTTCCCACATGGTCTAGTATTAACCGATAATTAATGTTTGATCCCAACACCCCCCCTATAAATACACATACTTCTGACCACCTGAAGAATTAAAAAGTATAATTACAGAAACAATAATAATAATAATAATACCCTAATAATAATCATAATAATGGGTCTATTTTCTTGTGTCAATTGTTTCAAACAGAAGAGTAGTAAGCCTCCCAAGGGTTCTTCTCGTAAGGAGAAAAAACCTGATGGAGCCTCCGCCGCCGGTGGCGGCGGGGACACCGGCGGTGATTTGATTACGGTTCCCACCGTGGTGGCGATGATGCCCCCGGCGGATATGCCGACGACCAATCATCATGGTCATCACAAAGACGGTGGTCGTCATCATTCTCACGGTGGCGGCGGTCACCATTCTCACGGTGGCGGCGGTCATCATTCTTACGGTGGCGGCGGTCATCATTCTCATGGTGGCGGCGGTCATCATGTCGACTATGGCCATCATGCCCACTTTGGTGGCGGTGGTGGAGACTTTGGTGGCGGTGGTGGTGACTGTGGCGGTGGTTTTTAGTTCTATATTCTGTACACTTCATGTTAATTATAGTTAGCATTTTTCATCAATATATGTGTGATGCGTTTCTAGTAAAACACTTCAAATCTTGAACATTAAAAATAAATTTCATAAATGATCTCTAGCTAATTGCACGTGATTTTTCATACTCTCTCCGTCCCAAATTATTTGTCACATTTCTATTACCGAGGTAAAATATCAAGTTTTTTCAATTCATTTTATTTACATATTGGTAAATAAATACAAAATAAAAATTAAATATCAAAAAACTACATAAAAAGTTCTTCGAAATAAGAGGTGTCAAAAATATTTTTATTTTATCAAATAACCAATGAAAACGTAGAAATAAACAAAAGTTCTCGCGACTGTTGAAAAAGCAAATGTGACAAATAATTTGGGACGGATGGAGTATTTATTTAGTCTCTAGTTCTAAGACCTTATATAAATAGCCTTTAGTTTTTGAAAACTATTTCATAATTAGTCTTTCAGAGACTATATGTAGAAAAATATATTTTGACATATTTGATATAAAAAATTATTTATGGAATAATTTTTAAAGAGCATTATTTATGTACCTAATACCTTGAAGTATCTTAGACTTAGGCACTACATATGAAAATTCATATGTAATTAAGGACTATTTATGAAATTAACTCAAAAAAACACTTCAAAATACATTGTAATTAGAGCATCTCTAATGAATGGTTGTGGGTTTATGTAGAAAGTTTTGGTACACATTAGAGCACAAGCAATGACGTGTTGTTCTACATACACGGTCTCCCACATAGGATTTTACACGGTTGAATTAGGCGAGACATGAAGGGATAACTCCCCTTTCTGTGCCATGTGCAAGGCATATACTTGCTCCAATTCCTTTTC